CCCCCCCCCCCCCCAGCTTCCTTCCTTTTCCTTTCCCATGGGTACATCTCTGTGACCGACGTTCCACTTCTTCCAGCTCCAGCTGAGCCTCCTTTCTTTTCTGTGGCCCTTCTCCAACCCAAATGGCATACCAGACTTTGTCCCCACCCTTATCACATCCACTCCCCCCTCCAGCTCCAGCTGCCACGCTCCAGGCACACAACATGTTTACTTTCCCACACAATAAGCTTTCCATTCCAAGACGAGATGCTCTGTTTCATCCCAGGGACTTTTTTTTGCAACTGTAAATATCCTGGACAAGAGCCTGCAAGAGGAGTCGGAAAGAAAAGTCCCAGAGCAAGAAAAATTTAATTTCAGTGTTGGCAAGATTCAACAGAAAGAACACAAGATGTGTGACAACTTCAGCGACTGAGGGGAACGTGTTCCTCCCCGCCACTTCTAAGGGCGTTTGCATAGTCCCACAGAGATGGAAATACCAATAAGGCAACAAAGGCCTGTGAATAACGCTGCATTTTAAAAGTAAGAAAGCATACAAAAACTTAAAAAGCCTCACATTCTTGGTTTTTTTTTTTCCCCCTATAGAATTTATAGAGAGAAGATAAAAATAGAGATACTACAAAAACTGCATTCATAAAGAATACTCCCCAAACCCTTTAACAGTGAGTAACATTTCAATATCTCACATATCTTTACTGTTACTATGCTGTTATATCAGAATTTTTTTTTTTTTAAATAGAAATACAGATATTTTGGCCATGCTCAAATTCCTCTGCTTTTAAATGCTTAAAATAATTCTCCCTGTAATAATCCTTACTATGTTTCAGGAAGGCTGTAGACGCTTTCCTTCTCTCAAAGTGAGAAGTGGTAATTGCCACGTTCCTCTGGGCCACGCGACATCGATTTAGTCGTAAATTGAACTTTCCACCACCTTTTAGAGAAGAAGTTTCTGCACACCGATTCCTAGCCGCAGTCTGCACAGTTGCTTCTGAAACCCAGCTCCACAGGTCTACCATGCTAAGCTGTACAGGTCAGAAGTTTAGCTAAATTTGTTCAAAACTTTAAACAAACATATGTCATTGAAGTTCTTATTCAGGTAAACTTGTAGAGAATATAGGTTTGCCTAAGATTTTCCATATGCAACATTTTAGCATAAGAAATTTTCCCCATTAATTACTTAGCAAACAAAACTCCAGATAAAGTTTGCATGTAAATAGAAGTAGCACAAACGTAGACGTACAGATAGTACTGATAAAAGTATCTTATTAATATCATTGGGAATAGAGTTTACATTTTTGCTTTAGATACAATATAAAAGAGAAATGAAATTCCACATTCTAACATCTTCTTTAGCAGCTAGTTGAGAAAAATGGTAAAACTTGCCAAAAAAATTTAAGTAAAATTTTATTTTAAAATACGTAAGTGTAGCAAGCAGATTTACCAGCAACTCTACATCGTTCTACTCTAGTGAGAAATGCCATAATATTTCAGGAAATACATTATGAAATGTACAGCAAATAAAAGTACGTAATTCCTGCACTAAGCAGGGCTTTCCTCCGACATGCAACATTAACTATGGAACAGTAGGACACATGCATAATTCACTCCCTTTGAAGAACGTACATTTTAATTTTTTTTTTTTTAAAGACAATACAGGGGCTCCTAATGGATCATTCCAATGGAACATTTTCAAGCATAAAAAGATTTCGCAGATTAACTCTGCAAAATTGAAGCACTGAGGCTTATCTAAAATCTGTTAAAATCAGTTTTTGCATCTTAATTTATGCATCATCAGATGTCACGTAATAAAGCAAGTTAAAAATAAACTGAATGAAAGCAACGAGTACTTTTTTTAACCAAAGAGCTTATTTGGATGCGGTATGGAGAGCAAGAATAAAGGCCCAAGCTATCTGGCAATGAAACATCCTAGGACATTTAATTCCACTGTTTTTCAGGGAAGTTGACCTACTGGGGAAATGCAGGTGTTCCTCAGACGAAATGAAAAGGCGAGGATGGAAAGGCAAGCATGTTAGTACCGCGGTGGAGGCGGCGGACGTCGGTCCTTTAAAGTACAAAACACACGTCTGCATGGCATGCGACACACAACCTACCTCTTCAACACCCTACATACCCACGGCCATAGCAAAGCACACAAGGCATGCGGACAAAGCAAAGGGAAAAGAAAAAGACACCGAGACGATATAAACAGCTGGCACGAAGACAAGGTCACGCCACAGAGACGCTGACAGCAAAACCAAAGCTCTGGAATCTTCCCCACTGTGAAGTACCCGCAGCCGACCGCCGCCGCGTGCCTCGGAGCAGGGAGAAGGCAGAAAATGAAAGCAAGAGGAAGCTGCTGAGCCTGCGCAAACTGGGATACGCGTGCTTTAGGAAACCTTTACGGGTGTTCACCGGTACCTTTGTCCTGACAGTTTTGGAGCTAACGTAGCAGCTGACAAAGGGCAGGAAGCCCAGGCAATGAGAAGCCTCTAAATTTAGCACCTTCCACCCACGTTGGGCAAAGTCCTGTTCTTTCCGTTTCATTCACGACTGCACATCGATCTTTGCGGGTGAGCGGGGAAGGGAATACCCCTTGACCTCTTAAAATCCAAGACATCCTTTACAATCATCTGTGCCAACTCATCTAAAACAAGTATCTAAATACTGACCAGGAAAATAGGTGAATTCAGTACTGTCATTCCACAGGCCAAATGGACCATTTCTGTAGGACTACTGTGCCGATGAGTATGTGGAATATCCAGACTACAACCTATTATTACTATTTCACGCCTCTTTACCATGAGATTTTAGGCACGTATTGTGGAAACTTTGACCAGAGATGATTTACTGCACACCTTCATGAGAGGCAGCATTTTCCATCATCAGTAGTTTAAAAAAAAAAAAAAAGCAAGAGACATCATTTGATAAATAATCAGAACTCAAAATCATAATCACATATAGTTACACAATAATCACGACTGTCTTCCTAGCTTATGAAGCAATAAATGGTTGATGCAATTAATATCAAAGTAACTGCAGAGGTTGAATCAACCACAAGGGTAGTTGACTGCAATATCCTCTACATTCCTACCTTGTGAAACAAAATTCTTATGTCCAGCTCTAAACTCTGTGTTCCAAAACACCCTTTATTACTTGGAGATACAATTTTTCAGATCACTGCTTAAAAAAAACAGCAGCTTTCAAGAACGAGTCCTGTGCAGTTCAGTTTGCACAAATGAGCACGTTTTCCTAGGCGACTCCAAAATCCCATTTGAAATAATTAACCCTGCCCATAGAAATGGATGGGTTTTTCTTTTGTCCTGAACAGCTGCAAAATCACCCGTCAGTAAGGCGCACAGTGTTGGCGTGCCATTTCCACAGGACAGCTGGGAGGAGGAAGCCCGTGAGAGTCACCTAATTTTCCATGGTTAGTCTGGGGAAGGGCAGGTTCCTTGTTCCCAGGATTGACTCTTCAACAAAAAGCGACTGCCAGCCCACCACAGCAGTTTTCATGAGGTCTACTATGGCTGGCACAGACATTTAGGAGTCAGGGAACCAAAAGGTTTAGCCGAGTCCAGACCTTCCACGTCCCATCGCTCTGCAGCACGCGTGTTCTTGCGTCACGTGAAGTTGGACCGACTAACAGGCTTAGTTCCTCAAAAAGATCGGTTTCATCAGCTTTTGCTTGTATGATGTAGGTAGATTATACAGGAAACTAAAGGAAATAGTGTTTCTGCCTCCTGCTATCACCAATACCTGCCATTCTTTAGTCTGATAGCATAGAAAACAGTCTACATAAAACAACTAACAATCTGAAAACTAAAGGTAGGATTCTGAATCTAAAAAAAAGACCAAGGTACAAAAATACTTCTTCAGAAATTATTTTTGGAGTCACAATTTAAATTTGGTCCAAGTTTCAAAAAGAGTACACTCGCGAGGAGGCAACGCTTAACATTTTTGGAGCTGTGTTCAGCTGAACTTTTTTTTTTTTGGAGTCATTTGTAACAGCCGCATCTAATGTCTCACTTTAAGAACGGAGAACAAGACACAACCACTGAAGCTGAATTCCTAGCCATGAATCTTGGTGTTCCCAGTCTCTGGCTTAAAAAAAAAACAAAAAACCAACAACCAAACCCAAAACCAAAAACAAGCAAGCAAAAAATCCCAATCCATTCTCAAGAAGGGACAACATCATATTCAGGGAACAGAAAGACTCACCCTGGTTTTGGCATCGATCTGCCCTCCGCGATCCAACAAGAGCTTCACCATGTTTGTGTTTCCCCTTTTGGAAGCCACATGCAGTGGGGTGATTCCATTCTACACCATGAAAAGAACAAACAATGAGCATGACGGATTTGAAGGTGCGTAATGGTGGCGAATGTGTGTTGGGATCACAAAAAAATGAGGCCATCACATTGTAGAGAATAAACAAAAATGTACTTGAGCATCAGAGCTAGGCACACACCATATAAGCTAGAGTTAGTAATTCCTTTCTAAGCAAGAATCCTTATTCGTTGTTCGGGTTTTTTTTAAGAAACGAAGCAGCGCATCTGCCAAAGCAGCAAACATCACAGTCCCAGAGTCAGACAAATAAACAAACATACATCGGAGTCCCAATGAGTCAATATTCACAGAACACGGAAGCATTTAAATCGCTGCAACATACACAGAGTACACAAACGCGTGACTCCTGCACAAAGGAACCTTCTTAGTGTAATGCCGATAGCGTAAAGGAGTAGGTCCTGTTTAGGCTGAAAGTCCTTGCAAACGCTTGGGTGAGGAAAGAGGCAATGTGAGCAGCTACTCCAGACTGGCAACGGGAGGAAGTCAGTCTGAAAAGCAGAACCCTAAAGTAATGCAAAGTGTGTCTGGCAAAATTAAACAGAAAACTTGTGAGCCGGTAGCTGTGTCGAGGTACAGACTACCAGAGGTTTTCACGGCACCAGATGCCGTGCTTCAAACTAGGTAACGTACAACAGCAGAGACTGTAGTAGGTAGCTCTGCAATTGGTACTTTTATTGTCGCATTTATAGAATGGCAATATACCTTACTTTACTTTTTCAAAACGTGATTATACGTGAAAATATCAAATTAAAGTGGTATAGTCAACACTGAATGCCGACAAAGCCAATAAATCCTACGTATATGTCTGGAGTACGTCTGACTGACAGAAAAGCTGAAGTGAGTTGACACACTATGAGAATATCAGCTTTCTGGAGCTACTCAAGGGAGCCTGCTTCCTTCAGCTGGGAACACCGCTCGCTACTCAACTCCCAAGGACTCCAGTGCATCGCACGGAGGCAACTTTGAAGAATTCCTGCCAAAAAAGACATCTTTGAACACAACAGAAACCCAGCGTTACTTTGCTCCTCGCTTAGTCTTGACTAAGAATTACACAAAGACACACTCCCACTTTTGTAGGCCATTACAACTAAGAAGAGAAAGAAATTCCTCCGTACCCTTGCTGTGAAATCGACTGCAGCTCCTCGGTTTAGCAGAAGCGTTGCCACATTGACATTTCCATAGTGCGCGGCTATGTGCAAAGGTGTAAAGCCACTCTACAAAGGGAAACAGCCCTTATTATAGAAATCATTTGAGACAAGAGAATCAGCTTAACTAGAACTTGATTTGAAAAGCTGCTGGCAAACAAACGTATCGTGTCGGTTTTATCCAGTTCACCTATAACACAGCACAGCCTTTCAGGCAGGAGTGCAGTTTTCATATGAGAGGTTATCAAAAGCGCCTCGTTCTTGCATTCTCCAATTCAGTCTTCTGAACCAGTGGCCAATAAGGAGAGTAGCTTTCATCACAGAAAATATTAATATATTAGCCATTCTTAAAGAAAATAAAGGAAGTTTCCTTATTTGGAATTAGGAAGCAACATGGGTCTTTTGGGCTGCATCTGTTTACTGCTTTTGGATAAATGACCGCAAAAGTTGTCGGACTCTTATTTTACTGCTCTTAGAATTAGAAATATTGACAACATCTTTCCTTCTTTTTTTTTTTTTTTTTTTTTTTTGAAAGAGCAGTAGTTATTCAATATGTAAGCGAAGAATTCGGTGTACATGAGAAACTACTTAGTAGCATAGTATAAGAATCATGATTATTTATATACCGTTTGGATCTCAAAGGATCTGAAGAAACTTTGCCATCCATACATCAGAAAAAAAACAATTTACTTATTGCCTCTTGAACACTAGAAGGTGAAACCTGCTCCAGCTACAAGACACAGAACTGCTCGACAACAACATAAAAAAGATTAATTTTTCAGAAACTAGGACGCAGAGCCAGCTTTTAGTCTCATCAGTAATTCAAGTAGAAAGGACCTTGCTTTTGAGGCTTCCCTGAAGAGCTTTACGCTAATTTGATCAGATCTTACTGATAGTTATGGAACGAGAAAAAAACTTTTGGCTTCTAGACTATACCATATTTTCAATCAGGTTTCATTTCTTTCAGCGTACAAATCACCTTTTCAAACTACTCGTGGAATAACATAGGCAGATGTTGCACTCTGAAATCAACTTTAATCCCAAAAGATACAGCAATCAGCCCACTATTTTACCCTAATTCCATTTACTTCCTTGTCAGCCCACAGGTGGTCCTGGTCAAAGTACAGTCAAACACTCATTAAATTCAGAGTTTTCTTGCTGTGATAAATTACCAGGGAAATGTCTACTGAGGATATCAGCCACACAAATAGGCTAACTGCGTTTAGCTGCAGATCGAATGCACGTTGCATTGACAACTTCACTGCAACCTTCGCGCGGGCACGTGGCTGCCTGGTGACAAACGCAAGGTACTGAGACGTGGCGTAAGGGCCGGTGAAGGAGAGCTAACCCCCTCTGCATTCACCCCGGCAAAGCACATGCCCGTGGGCAGATGCCAGGGAGAAGCCGTCACCTTTTCCATTCGCATCGCCGGCTGCCCGGTGGCAACTCGCTCCCGTGCGCACACACCGAGCGTGAAGCGCTTCCGCGCGGGCGCGTGCATTCAGAATTCAGTCCCTCATCTAACAGAGCAACTCCGTTATTTAAAAGCAGGCATTCAAATGATCACCGTGTTCTTGGAAATAAATCTTCTTCCTAAACATGGCAATAATCCTTAGGGGAGAAATCGCAGTTCTAGCCAACCAGCCTGTGATTTTTAGCGGAAGCGCTTGGAGAGTTGGCATTTCCAGAATCCGTATGAGAAATGCAATATTATCTGCTGCAGGTAAATTCTGACTATGTGCTATCCCTTAAGGACTTTTCCAAACTTTATTGAAAAGAGCGTAATAAGAACAACGGTAAAAATAAGCAGATGCTCTGAACAAGTTTTTACCTAGGAGGATTTGATTACATTTGTTATTGTAAAAGAAGGAAAATGAATTTTACCATCATTCTGGCTGAGCCAGACACCTTAATTTAGTTAGGCCAAGTGAGTGCATTTTCATAATTAATGAAATTGAGCTAGAACAGCATTTTTATCCTCTTAGCTCCATTACTCGCTTCAGACTTCTTTGAACTCATGTGAATTCTCAAAAGTTTACTTCAACAGTGACACAAATAAAAAAAAGTTCTAAGACAAAGGACAAAAACAGGTTTGCTGAGTCACAAATTTCTATGTATTAAACAAGAGTCTTATCTTCCCTTTTAGTGCTAAATAATAAAGAAATATTGCCACAGAGCAGAGAAAATCATTATAAGTAACAGAAAGAGTAATTAAAAATTTTTTATCTCGGTACCTCAGTCGTCCTATTCACCATCATCTGATGCAGCATGGTTTGGAAAAAAGAGGAACAATATTAAAGACTGGCCGCAAAACGAAGAACTATGTTGCTTTTTGAAATGAGTTATGTGGTTAATTATGGGAAAAGCCATTCAAGCATGCATTAACTTTAAATACAACCTATGTTCCCATGGGCAATAAACCAGTATCCTATTTAATAGGGAAGCAGCGATTCTGCTTCCATTCCAGTGTCTTCTGGTTTACAAATAATGAGAGAAAGCTGGTGACCAAAGAAATGGGAGGTATAACTAAAAAGCAGAAAAAATGAGTAGTTTGTAATTACTGCGTAGCTAAACACTTGCAAAAGTGGATATATTACTGGTGATACTGGTCAAGCAACTCGTCCTTCCCCACAGAAGAAATTACCTTTAACCGTTAAGACGAAGGAAGCCAAGTTTGTTGCCCATCGGCACTCGGCCGCGTGACTACCCCGTTACCTCTACAGCAGCATCAGGTTACCTTGGACTGCACATCGGCATTGTGGTCGTTCTGCAGTAAGAGCGCCGCTGACTTGGTGTCGTCTTTTCTAGCGGCAATATGCAGAGCTGGTAGTCTCACTTTCCCCTTGGTGTCATTCTCCAGGAGGATGGCCACCGCCTGGTTGTGTCCTTGTTGCAGCGCAACAGCCAGAGGAGTGAAACCGTCCTGGTAGAGGAGAAAACAAGATGCGGTCAGGAAGCTGAAGGACGTACAGCTTCAGCAATTCGCGCAGCGCTGTTCACGTATAAAAATTTGATAAGCACATCACCAGCCATTTTCTACCTCTGCACCACCGCCTCCGGTGAAATGACATCGCAGGCACAACATTCTAACCCAGATATAGAATCATAGAATCATTTAGGTTGGAAAAGACCTTTAAGATCATCCAGTCCAACCATTAACCTCACACTACCCATATGATTTCAAACATATCAGAAGCACACTTTTTCCACGTCAAAGTAGTCTTTCTTTAAGTCAAGCACAAGCAAAGGATCATTCTACAGTATCTCTCAATTATTGTCATCTTAAAATGGGCCACAAAGCATATTTTTAGCAATATCTTGGTAAGGATTAGTGAGCACTCAACAAAGTAGATGTGAAAAATACACAGGGAACCTGTTTCTGGATATCTTGCGGCTCTGTAAAAAGAAAGCATAGCTTCAGATGCATTTGCTGCTGTTTCCCACTCTAAGTTACACATGGACTATGACTCAAGAAAGCCAGATCGTGCTTATGAATTTATTCTAACTGGAAGCAGGAAAACGTTAGATTATTTGTACTTTTTTGGAAAAACAAAGTCAGAACAAATCTCTCTGCTTTTCATGCATAGTTCTGGCTTTCTTTGAAAACTATTTTCAAATCGTCTTGCTCCTCCACACGTGCCCCAGATTGCCAAGGCCTTAAAATGCCTCACAGGGTGGCAACTTGCTCTCTCGGCTGAAGTACTGCCTGCTCCCATCTCTTCGGTTCTGACTACCAAACCAAATCTCGCTCAAGTCTTGCACGCTGCCCAGGCACGCATGTGCTGCAACCACGTGCTAGATGGGAGGGCAGCTGAGCCACGAGGAACAGAGCAGTTCTCTAACCGAGTCTGTGACCGGAGGCCTGGTGAATAAAAATGGAAGAAAAGGGAAGGGAATAAAACAAGGTCTTCTATGCCTAGGTCAGAAGGAACACCTAAAGAGTTGATTAGAGCCAGAAAGTGAGAAAACTGGTTTAGAAACATTGTAAAAGGCATAGGAACGAGACGGAATTGATTTGGAATAGGAATACGGAAAGACGATAAAATAATAAAGGACAAGTTAGGAAGGAATGAGAGCTAACATATGCTGAAAGAAACATCTGAAGAATTGCCAAAGCAATTTTTCCCCTTAGTAATCTAATAACATTCACTCCCTTTTGCGTAGAACTGTGGGTAGGTGCGTTGTAACAGCGATACTACTATGGTTTCTTTCTGTAATAGAGATTAAATTCTGTACAGTGAATTAAAAAAAGGGGTGAACAGCTGATGAAACAGCTGAACTGCAAAGATAATTCTGAGATTGGGGCTACATTAGGTGTTGAAATGGCTTAATGCATTTGCCTTTCGCCTCTGGGAACATGAGAACAAATCCTGGATTAGAGGCCCTGTGAAACTGAGCTCATCCTCACTCTCATTTTATATACATATGTATATAAGCGTTAGAGGAAACAAAATATATCCAAAGGCAGTGCAAGTTTCAAAGCTTCAAAGACAAGATCATCCATTTGATTTGCACCACTTCATCTTCCGTCCTTCTCTAAAAGGACACAATTCTTTCTGCATTCCCTCTCCTGTTGCTTCTGGAAAGCATGGCTGACCAGAGCTTGGAGAAAGCATTTCATTTCCCCACTTCCCCGTGTGAGGACAATCTTTGATGCCAAACAGAAGATCCTTCTCCATGTATTTCGGCGGCATCCTCAGTTCAGGCTGCCATCCCACCTTATCTAACGTACCGCTGCTTCATTCTGGTCATGAGACTAACTCTGGGCACGTCCGAAAGCGGACAGTGGCTCAGGCCATCCTGCAGTAACACTTAAATCACCGAAACCATCCCCTCAGCAAGACCTGAAACCAAAACTTATCTAGTTAAGCAATAAGGGGGTAGACAGCCTTTGCGCCAGGGGAGGTTTAGGTTGGATATTAGGAAATATTTCTGCACGGAAAGGGTGGTCAAGCATTGGAACAGGCTGCCCAGAGAGGTGCGGGAGTCCCCATCCCTGGAAGCGCTCAAAAAACGGGCAGAGGTGGCACTTTGGGACATGGTTCAGTCTAGTCTACCCTTGATTGGTTTAGTGTGGACTTGGTAGCGTAGGTTAATGGTTGGACTGGATGATCTTAAAGGTCTTTTCCAACCTAAACGATTCGATGATTCGATGATTCTACTTTCCAAGGTACAAAAGTGAGAACTGACCTTTCTGATGGCAGAAGACAGACTTGGACTCAGGTTCAGAGTGGGGGGCATTCGAATTTTTTTTTTCCCCTCCCCCCTGACTTAGAATCATAGAATCATTGAATCATTTAGGTTGGAAAAGACCTTTAAGATCATCCAGTCCAACCATTAACCGAACACTACCAAGTCCACACTAAACCAATTACTAAACTTTAAAAAAAAA